GACCTTATAAAAGACTTCATTGACTTAAGTTAAAATTACTGCAAAAAAGAGGAGAATACAACATTATATTAAGTAAGCCGAACTAAAATAAAACAATTAAGTGCACTAACTAGAGTGTGTAAATCCCGATAGTGTAAGACCCCATAGCCATATATTCGAATCATAAAAAAAAATTACTAGGAGAGTCTAACACACAAATTTTGCTGAAACACAGGCGGACAAACCTGATTAGAGCAATTTTTCCAATCATACTAATTGGGTATATATGTATACTACTAAACTCATGTATGCAAACTAAACTAAACCTTAAAGAGCCTAACACCTGTTACATACTTTTCACCGACCTAATCTACAAGTACCCTTTTTACCCTTCGGCTAATTTCCTCCAGAACATTCGGCACATTTTGCTCAAGCTGGCGTGGACTCTTGACTCCCACACTCTGTCTTTCGATTTACTTTGGAGTTATCGCATAGATAGATGGCAGATTGCATTTTAATTTCGAAACAAGGTAGTTACAAATTCTCACTGGGCTATTATTTTTTTATGATCGTCTTTAGCCGAATCTTAGCCCGAATCCTAGTCTTGATTTAGAGATCAGTAAAAAGAAACGCTTCGTAAACCGGAACAGCGCTCGTAATCTCGTTATAGGTTCAATCTTGGCCGTATTAAACAAGTGTGGCGGTTTACAGCCGCGGTTTGAAATGCGCACTAAATTCTTGTGACGTCACTACCGTTGGCATTTACGTCGCGTAGCTGCGATTGCGAGCTGACACCCACGCGCTCCTCTCTTCTTCATCTAAAGCAATCAACTCATTTCTATGAAGCCCACGCCGCAATGACAGGAGCAATGAATGACGGAATGACAAAAAGAACAGCAACAAGAAGAAACTCAAATATAAGTACACACAGCCTCTCATAAATATTAAGCATGTAGGTAAACATTAAATAGACCCACGCGCCAGTACCAGCGACAAGACACAATTCTGGCACTGATAGCAACTGATCATCGGGTCGACGATCAGCTCAGTAATACATACATATATGGGCTCAGTGGCAAAGATAAGTTTTGTCCTTCACGGGCATGAACCTCAACCTGCCATGGCTAGAAACGTAGCTGATGGGTATTTCACGATTTCGCAACGAACGCGACAGACATACATATGTATCTGTCAGGTAAGATTACAAAAAGTATACGAATTGGAGTCATTAAATTTAATAAATAAGTTTCTTCTAAGATCAGCGATAAATAGAGAACTGGATGGAAATAACGCTTCTTATGTTCTTTCGTTGTATGCATTTAAAAAATTAAACGAGCTTCAACTCTTTGTAGTCCCTAGAACTAATTTTCATGGCCGTTAACAAGTTTTTTTTTTTATATCACCCGCCATTTTTCAAAATTACATGTCCCTTTTTCAGTTTTTTTTTCGAAAATTTCACATATTTAATACAATTCCTCTACTGGAAGTTAAAACCGCATGAGTCTGAAGTGTCTTTGTCTAAATTTAACCGCTTGATTGGTATATTTATTATTTATAAATTTGTGAAGTGAATGAATCGAAATGGAATTTGTTTTTTTAATAGATACATATAATATGATGCATCGAAAAGTAGAATCGGTTTACGTTACGCTTTGGATCTGTAAGCGAATTCGCCAAAATAATGAAATCATTATGGAAACTCAAAGTTCCTACAGATTTTTGTCATCAAATTTGCCATAATAGTGAATAATTAATTCTGCTTATGATGAGCTGGCAAAAATGTCCATCCGTTCTATATATGTAACTAGCTGCCTTTATCAATCTATTTGACTTTAAGGTCTATACCAAAGAAACTATTGGTTCACATTGGCATTTTTCTTTGGTGATTGAGAATTTATCAATGCAATTAAAAAAGTTTTGTTCTAGAAAACAGCGCTGGCGGTATTATGTCACCCTTTTTCGAAAGTGTTTAAGTCGGTGATCGAGCAGAGAGAAGCAGCACAGATCATTTATACACGATATCAAACCATACTCTATATGTACTCGTCTATACTCGTATAGACATGCAAGTTATTTTGCGGTTGATTTCTGAAATTTGCACTTTTATACATTTTCACATTTGGATATCAGATCGAGCGTTTCCATGTTAGTTCGATCGATTATTGTAGCAGTAATTTGATGCCCAGCTAGTACTGCAGAACTCTCTAGCTTCAATATACTTGTAATGGCCTTTTTGGTCTCTCGCTAACCCTCTCTCTCGATCGATTGAATATTGTAGCATTTGAAGAGTTAAAAATTAACCACTTAGTGTTCCGATTGGGTAACTCGATGCCCCAAAAGTCCTGCTATCCTCCCAATTTCACTATGATTTAAATTTTCAATTTCTACCTCTCTTTCTATCTCTATCGATCATTGTAGCAGTTGTTGCCACGAACGGTTCAAAATTAACCATTTAGTGTTCCGATTGGGTTCATAAAGTACCCAACTGGTACTTTCCCTCTCTGGATCGATCAGACAAGTTGATCTAACTTCAATATAAATGGATTTAATCTATTGTACATTTTCCACATTTCAACCTATTTTTCTTGAATATTTTCGTATTCAATTGTTTTACTGGAACGTTATCATGGGACGTGTTGATGCCAGCTAGAGCCCGTCCCTCTAGCCCACCTCTAGTCTATATAAACAACAACATTTTTTTATGGCGCGTATTTCAGTTTATCGTCATATGAGAAAAATGCCAGAGATAAACCTTTGATAAGCGCGTAACATCATTAAACAGACACAAACATACATAAGTACATATGTATGTATGTATGTATGCCGACAGATTGATAAATATTTATATTATCGTTACTTCTCTTTTTAAATATTTTATTAAGCAATTATGATACGGTTGCTTTCTCTTATTTGCTTGACAAATGTTTCACAAAAAATGGGAAAAAAATGTGTTATTGCTGTTATTTTTGGCAAACTTTTTGCATTATAAGTGTATGTACATAGTATTTATGTACATATGCGATACATATAGTATATGTACAGTAAACAATAGAATATGCTAGTATGTTCCTCTATATACAAGTAGATATATAGATATATATACATAATATGTATGTACATATGTGTATCTAGAATACAATATACAATTAACTACATACATCATACATAGATAAGTGTCAGTGCCAGTCGCAGTGTAACGAACTGTTGTTGTTGTTGTTATCGTTAGCTTTTGTAGCTCTCGTTGCTGACTGTGTGCGATAACAGCCGCATTGCCTAGATAAAAAAAAAACATATATACAAAAACAAAAAAAAACGCGAGCGCTTTTGCGAAAGAATTTTTATCAGCGCACCCAATTTCTAGGCCGTCCCGCCCCTCCAACGACTAGGCCCACCACCGTCTGTGCCGCTGTCGTCATGTCATTGAGTCGAGTCGTGTCATAAGATACAAAAACCGCGCCCAACCGACCTCAAATAATTTGCCCCCCACCCCCAGCCATGCACCTGCGAGCGAAACTGACGCCGAGACGAGACGAGACGCGACCAGACGGGACGAGTTGACAAAACGACGAGCGTGCAACGTCGCGTCACTTTGTTCCCCACCTCTCCTCCCTTCTCAACCATTTCACTACCCTTCCTCTACCACTTTTTTTACCCGTTGATAAGATAAGCGCAAAATTAATTACCCGCATGCTACGCAAACACACGAACAACAAAAACAGCGAACACACACAACTTTTTTGTGGCTGCGCTGAACAACTTTACAAAATAAAGGCGAAAAAAACTAATAATATGAATAGTATTAATAATAATAATATTAATAATATAATATAGTAATAATAGGTAATAAATCATTGTAATAATCATAATAATACTAATCGGTAATGCCTTCAAATTCTCAACGTTGGTTGAAAATTGAAAATTTCTTACCTATAGCTGTCACAGCTTTCATATTTTTTCGAAATTGAATTTTCTTATCTCTCTAAAATAAAACTAAAAACTCCTAAAATAACGACCGACCATCAATGGAAAAGATCTAACTACTCATAATTTAAATTTCCGCATCGACTATTAAGATCTAGGCCAGCAAACCCTAAAGAACCCAATAGACTCTTTCGAACGTTTCTGGTAAACGAAACATACTAATATAATGATATAAACAGCCAATTTGTTTGGATCAAAACATACTTTTTCAAGCAGTTACTTATTAGGCTTCGGAAAATAAACTTAAAAACTATTTTTAAGACTCAGACCTATTTCGAACCGTTGCTTTCCATGGCAGTCATTAGCCAACGTCTGTGGACTTATAACTGATATTATTTTTAAGAAAAAACCAAGTTCTTTAACATAACATTTGGTTTTGATTTGCTTGTAACTGCCATAGAAACTTAAATAGATTGTCCCCCAAACATGAGCTGGCTGAAGCTTTCTCAATATTTGAAATAATAAGATTGAAAAATAGTTGGAAAACTATGTAGTTTTAAAAAAGGATTTAAAAAGTACTTGAACTTGTACGAAAAACGACATATATTCGTCAAAAATATTGAGCAGTTTTCAATTTTTTTTTTTCAAATATATATCGTATTTCGAGCACTATTCACAGACCACCCGATCATCCATGACGATTTTATTAGTGGTTTGGCGGTTTAAACTGGTTTCTGTTGGGGGGAACTTTGGAAATGAAAGTATTGTTCTAATTGATTTCGGGACCTACAAATAACGTCCTCCCGAAATTGATGCTTCATTGCTTTTGTCTCAATAATAATAAAAATAATTTAATACTACTTTCAATTTGCCAACGAGCTTACATAAAATACAAAAAAAAAAGATAATAATAATAATGAAAAAAAAAAAAATAGTACAAATGGCACGCCCACATAATTCAGCCTTTGTTGTAACATGGGCCGCCTACGCCCCGCCTTCTCTTGGCACTCTTTCAGCAAACTTAAAAAAATATATATATACCGTATATATATATATATATATATATATATATATATATATATATATATGGATATTCCTGATCAACGCTCTAGCCTAATTTGAGATTTCCTATAGAATTGTGATGCTGCAGTGGCGGTTATCATCACCATCTTCATCACCATCATCATCATCATCATTATCATCATGATTGTCGAGCCGCCCGCTGCTGCTACGACGCTTGCGTCGGCTGCTGCTGCCTACCTTCTTAGTGCCCACGTCGCCGACGTCGCTGCTGCTGCTGCCACCGCCCGCAGATGTTTCCAGCTGTGTGGCAGCCAACAATTCGCTCAATTGCCGGGTCTGCTGTGCATCGTCATCGTCGTCATCGGCATCGACATCGGCGTCACCGTCAGCGTCGAGCGGCAGCATCTCCTCCTCATCCTCATCGCCACTGAGATCGCCGGAGCTGCTCTGACTGCTCGATTTGCGGGCGAGCGCGACACGCACGCCATTCACGATGCACTCGCCACCATCCAGAGCCGAAATGGTCGAGCCACAATAGTACAGATTACTGCACGAGGAGGCGGCACTCACATCCGAGTGCACATCGCTCCCCTCTTTGGCACCTTGACTTCCCACACCGCCCGTTCCCGGTGCACCAACACCGCCACCGCCGCCGCCAGCGACCGCATCCAGAGAGCAGCGCCGATAGCTACGCGCACGCTGCAACCGGAAATACTCCATCTCCTCCATGCTGATGCCACAGGCTATGATATCGTCTGAGTAGTCCGACACCACCACCGACGGAGTGCGCACATAACGTACACAGCCCAGCTCGCTGACACAGCTCTGGGTGCTCTCCCGACGTGAAGTGCTGCCCCAAGTGTTGGGCATCGTTATGGAATTGCGCGGCTCCTGTGTAATGCCCACTAGACGTTCCTCCAGCAACACCTTGCTGGGCACACTGCCAGCTGCGACACCAACACCAACGCCAGCTCCACCGCCGACTCCCACTGCCACTCCCAAGCCACCCGGACCGGTTGGCGAGGTGAGCGGCGAGTCTGGCAGGGCTGTGGGCTCGGCTAGCGGCAACAGTGCCGGCCGCAGCGGCAAATCTGTCACAGTCAGTGTGAGACGTCGCTTCTGACTCACCACAACTGGCGGGGCGTCATCCACATCCAGGCCCAATGCGGAATCGCTGCTGGCACAACGCGCCACCTTGGCTTTGCGCAGACTCGGCTTGCCACTGCCGGCGTCCTCGTTGTCGGAACTGCAGGGACTTAGGCCGGCAGTGCAGCCCTCATCCGAATTGGCTGTGCTGGCTGCCTCAATGCGTGGCAGCTCCTTGGAATGTGTTTGTGTTTGTGGCTGCTGCAGCTCCTGCTCCTGTCCCGATTGTTGCTTCTCCCTTTTTACAATCATTCTATCGAATTTGGCGATCAGTTGCTTCACCTGTGGAAACTCAAAGGCAACTTCTCCACTTCCAGCAGTGCGCTGCTGTTGTTGTTTTTGTTGTTTCTGCTGCTCCCCTTTGTCGTCTAATTCGTCGTCTCCCTCGTCGTTGGGGATGTGTAGGGCGTAGATCTCTTTGTAGAAGGCGGCACGAAGCTGCGCCTTGTGCTTGGCCAGGCGCAAACTTTTTGTCCGATTGTTGGCCGCCGTTGGTTCACATTGAATATTTGTAAATGTTGTTGTTGTTGCCTCCGCTTTGGCTTCAGTTTGTGCTCTCGCTGTTGTTGTCGTCGTCAATGAATTGATTGTATTGTTGTTGCCGCCGTATCTGCGTGCGCACCGTTCCGTTGCTCTCTGATAACTGAACGGCGTTGACGTTCCTAGCGCGCTTTTATTCTCCAAAACATTAACTGGCAATGTCAGTGACGACGACGTTCGCTTCAACGTTGGCAGCGCTGCTGACGTCGCTGCTGTTATCTTTAATTTGTTGCTGCTGCTCGGATTCTTCTTGCGACCGTCGCGGCGCTGCCGTTCTGCTATATTCACGCTCATTCTGATATTGTTGTTGTAGTAACTGATGATGTCGCTGATGTTGTTCTTATTGTTGTTGCTGTTGCTGTTGTTGGTGGTAGTCTGGCTCATGATATATGTATGTATATACCTCTATGTACATAAAGTATATATGTATCTGTATATATGTACATATATTTTTTCGCTGACGTCGTCGTCGTCGTCTGTTCTACGGCTCGCTTAATAATAATACAATAATAATAATAATAATACGAAAAAAGTCAGTTTTCGATTTTTTTTTTGTGTTGACGCCCGTTTTGCTCTTTTTGCTGTTTCTGTTATTATTGCTTTTGTTTTATTTACTCATCGGCACGTTCGCCTCGTCCGTTTTTCCGTTCCTCCGCTCAATTGGCACCTGCCTGCTGCTTCTGCTGCTGTTGTTGTTGTTGTTATGTGGGTGTCGGTGTCTGACTCTGTGGCTCGACTCGGGCTGGGCTGCCCCCTTGCATAAAGTTTTTTTTTCTGTAATTGCTCATAGTTGCGTCGCCTGCTGCTTTCTTTTTTTTGCCTAAACGAAGCTGCAAACTTTAGCGGCGTTGTCGGAGTAGGCGGTGGCGGTGGTGGCGGCGGTGGCGGCGATTGGTGGCAACAGAGGGGGCGTTGACGGTGGCGTTCTCTATGCAATGATCTTGAAACGTTGACGCAATATGCAATGATCCAATGCGAGCACGACGCACACACACACACACATAGACGGATGAGACAACACACACAGACAAATGAGGAATATATACACATACACATATAAATATGTACATACGTATGTATGTATGATGTATATACATTTGTAAGTACAAACATATGTGTGTTTATTTATTTATATTCCGTTTTTGTTGTTGCGCTCCAATTGCTTTGCTAGTTTTCTTAACTTGAGCGCGTAATTGCATTTAAGTACACAACGACATACGCACACACATACTCACACACACATACATAGTCATACGAGGTGTTTATGTTGCCGCACAATGGGTTAAAAAAGATATATCTTGCCAATGAGGGATACATGCCTTTACCGAGAAAACTACGAATGCCAAGGCGCAGCTCTACTGGAAATTGCTAAACACAAAAAATTGAACAGCTATTTGAATAAGTAAAACAATTTATTGGATATAATTAAATACGATCCTCTACAATAAAAACAATTGCGAATGCTAAGTTGAATACATCACTTCAACTCAACAAAGCAGTGCTGCAATAAATATTCCTATGACAACTTTAGTATACTTGTATGATATAGCTCCCCACTTCTTATGAGATTATGGTGATGTGTACATTAAAAAAATCATTAAATAAAATCATAAATATAGTACTACAACTAGATAAGAAAAGTTTCTGGTATTAAGAGTGATTTTTAAACCGATCGTTTCTGTGGTAACTTTATGATAAAGTTAACCGATAAATAGGCACAAAAGAATAAATATCAAAATCTAACTATATTACCAAAAAGTTTGCTGAATGATGCTTAGCTGTTATGGCTTAGAAGTTCTCGGTGTTCATACGGACAGGCGCACATGTCGTTTGTCTTGACATTTTTTATACCCTGTACCCGTAGGGTAAAAAGGGTATATTAGGTTTGTGCAAAGTATGTAACATACAGAAGGAAGCATCTCCGACCCCATAAAGTATATATATTCTGAATCAGCATGACGAGAGAAATCGATCTAGACATGTCCGTCCGTCTGTCCGTCCGTCTGTCCGTCTGGATGAACGCGAGAATCTCAGAAACTATAAAAGCTAGAATAACCAAAGTTGGTATCCAGATTCTCCTATGTCCGAGAAAGGACGAGTTTATTTTATTTTTTGGAATTTCCCCCGCTACAGAATTTCGTCAATAGCGTCCACATTTCAACTGCTACCTAAACCAAACTTTGCACATATCATTTATATATAATTATCTACTGTTGTTTAATTGTTTAAAATTTTATCCAATTCGGTCAATTCTAAGAAAAGTTATTCGCGAAACAAATTCTCTCCAGTACAACCCCCCCAAGCTCTTCCTCTTTTTGCTGCTGCTATGGGCGCATATATCTCAGTGTCGGAAGTTTACTTGGGTACAGGGTATTTCACTGTCGGGCTTGCTCGACTGTAACATTCTCTCTTGTTTTTTAATAGCAGAGTGTATTTTATTTAAAACTGTCTATCATGGACAATCATTAAATTGGATAAAGATAAACTTTATCCTTGAATCGTTTGGGTACAGGAAAAACAAAATCAATGGAGAAATTTAAAAATGGCGTCCGTTAAAACTAAAACTCAATCGATTAGTGTGGTGGCGACCCTTATAACATTTATAAATAATATAGCCATTTTTTTTTGGAACTAAAAAGTTTAATACTGAAAATGCGAAAAATAGATTCTGCATATACATATACAATTATTTAAAAACACAAACTGCGACTCGTAACTTTAATTCCTTCCAAGACCTACGCGATCATACAGACAAACACAGACGTATAAAAATGAAATGAATTGTTAGGTTCTAATTTGAAATAGCAAAGCATATTATTGCAATTCCCTGTCTGAACACAACCTTTAGGCATTTAAAATTTTTGAAATTAAAAGGGAAAGAAATTGTCAATATATTTGATGCTTATTGGCCGATTCCGACTTAAAATATGCTCTAACCTTTTTCCTTATGCGTACTTTTTCTTTGAAAACTCAAAGACATTCGTTAAAAACTCATTTATCTTAATCCGTACGCGTATTTCTTCAGCTGTTTTTTCCCATTTATATAATGCCAGATTTGAATTTTTCTTGATTAGGAACAGACCTCATTATTTCCTTCATTTCATCTCTTATCTACTCATTAGTTCAGCTGTTAAGCAACTGCTTTATAGATTTCAATATATTTCCATTGTTTTCTTTCGTTCGGAAACTCATAAGCTCACTAAAGTGACTAATTCTCTAATGAGGCCTGCTGGCTAGCTGGCTGACTGAGAATGCATTTCCCTCTTACTTTCTCGGAACCTCTAGAGCTGGTCGCAAAAGCGTATAGTTCTGACTAATTATTTTGTATAGTGTAGTACTCTGAGGCGAATTTTTTTAAATAAATTCAAGTGTTCGGTTTGGTTATTGATAGATTTTCAAATCATTAACATAAAAACTACTGGCTAATTGGGCAAAGCTAAAAAGTCAGACGGATATCTGAGGTGTTTTCAATTCTTTATTGAAATGGAAGCTTTTGAGAACGTGACGGTATCGCTAACGCTTACCACACAGTTAGGCTCAACAGAGCACTTGTAAATTTTAAGTCTATGAAAATAAAATGATGTAGTAGGTAAATACTTCGAAAAATTCTTAAATCATCATTTGTTTTATTTTTATATATCCTTTAAAAAACTCAAGAATTTCTTTTGTGACACATTATCGAAATTAAGCTTAGTATCGCAGTTGATATTTAAATTACTTTGGATTCCACTTTAAGAAACTACAAAGTATTTAAAACCCCCTTGGCAATTAAAAATTGACAAAAAAAATATGATTTTAAATTAGAAATCATTGCAAAATATTGTGAATGAAGTTCTCTGTTAATATCGAGAAAGTCTAGACAAACGTGCATTTATATTTTACAGTTCTATGCAAATTGGTTAAAAGCCGGGTAATTTTTATCAATACATTGATAGCGAGCTGTCTTGATGACAAAGTTCAAGTGATTGTTTTGTGTCTACATAGTATGAAGGAATGGTCACTATTGGACAATAGTATTGTGAAGAGTTTTGATGGTTTTTTTAATGAATGAATCGCTATCATATCAAAGAACTACCGCCACCTTAACGATCGATAAGCAATACTCAGCAATTATCGATAGCAAAATATTAATTGAATTATCTAAGCATTGATAGTAATATAATATGTGATGTGCCCGAATACCCATTCCACTGCCATCAAAATCTATCAATTCTATGACCCAATGGCATTCCCCAGCCCCATACGTGTACATAGATAAATAATTCAAGTTTCCGTCCACAATTTTGTCGTTCCACATCCATAGTGCCGCAAACGCACTTTGTACGCAATGTGCGTGGCTATGACGTCAGCAGAGAGCCACAAATGTGACAAAGCGAATTGCCAGCTCGTGTGTTTCAGATGCAGACGCAAATGCTGAGCAACGATCGTGCAAGGGCGGACCACAGCCATATCCATATAAATAGTACATGTGATGATCACTTATACGACCTGTGGTCGGCAATATGTTTTGCCGCAGGCAACGACAGCATAAATAACAAGCGACAATTAGGCATATTACTTATTCAATACTCTTCGCAAAAGCGCATTACTGCTTCGCCAAAAGTACATGTTTTACAGAGAATCGACTTAAAGAACTCTGTAGATTGAAAATCTTACGATGGTGTAAACAATCGGCTTTAAGAATTGAATTGGAAATGTTGGTCCCATGTAAAGAAAAATGATGAAAGGGAAAGAAAGTCACCTATTTTTGCGAAATACATTTAGGAAAGGTGTGTATTTCACAAATTTGTTTTTAATTTAAAGAAAAATGTTGATGTCAAAATATTGAAAAATGGATTCGGGCAGTTAGTTTGCCTGATTTATAAAAATAGGATCTAAAAGGTAATCAAAACAATAATTTAATGTTTTTTTATGTAAAACCTTTTGTGCACAGAAGGAAATTGCAAAATGCATTTAAGAAGTCTGCTACGATACTAGGAATTTGAAACCCAATAAAGAATGACTTAAGCAGTGAAATTTACTTTACAATCTATAGTATCTTATGGAAATCATATTGGTTGCACTGCATGGATTCGTCTTTCAAAACAGGTGCACAATTCTAGATAGGCGCTACTACTTTATACACGAACAAACCCCTTATACGAATATTCTTTATGCTTTCACTGAGAGTTAAGAAAACATACCATACATATGTATGTAGATACATACGAAAGTCGATATTGGGAAGGGCATTGACACTTCATCGAAGCGCATGGCAAATAGTTCCCTTGCTTCTTGACTACCACCTCTCTATCAAACTTACGGACTTTGACTGAATGACGCTTTTGGACGCTGATAGTCACTGCTGTATGACGTGTGGAATGGATCGCGACTTGAAGGCGTCTATCTAACTGTAGGCAATCCCCATTCCCCTCCCTCTGCTAAGCTGGTTGCGAAATCAAAACCACTTTGGGCAGCCAGCTTAAATGCGCAAACACTACACACACAGACACACTGAATCGAGGTATGTACATAGTATGTGTGTGTGACTGTTGTACATAAATGGGCTAACAGCTTAAGTAGAAATTACGTCAAAGCAATTGACGAAATAGCAAAATACACTAAAAAAAGAAGAAGAAAATCGACTTGAAGGATAACGGCCGCTTGAGGTGCTCATTCGCTGTATTTCTGTGCAATGTATGTGTGTGTGTAAGCGCGCGCGCATTTGGCCCACTGACCGAAATAACCAACCAAGCACACACATGCATACATACGTACATACATACATAAATATTTATCTGGCCAACTGGTTGTAAACTTTTAATTAAAAGCTTTGGCCGCAAAGCTTGCCAGAATGCGAGCAGAGAGCAGTGAGAGGAAAGGGGGTCAAGCAGAATATTCTTTTTCTCTTCCTCTTCGTGCAAATGTCATTTGGGCCACACACACACACATACACACGTATGCAGTATATACATATGTATGTATCGAAGGCGCGCGTGCGCTTGCGCCTCTGAAATGGTTAACAGAAAACAGAACCTAGCTTTTAACGCACACGTATTTATGTGCATATGTATGTACCTACATATGTATGTATGTATGTATATTGTGCGCTGCTGTTGCTTCATTCACTACAATTTTCGCACACTGCCTCGCAAAGCCTGGCATTGATCAATTAAAAGAAACACATTAAATGCAGGTGACTGACTGCATGTGTGTGTGTGTGTGTTGGTGCGTGTATGTGCGTGCGTCCGCGTTGCGAAAAACGTTAAACAACAGCTGCAAACGTATGCAAATATACTCGTATACTCTTATACTTTATAAATCAATTTTTTGGCACTGTTTTTTCTTGTTCCTGTTGTTGTCTTGTAACGGTCGAACCGAGAACGCGGTTGCGGTGGCGATAACAACAAAAACGACCGGCAACGACGACGGCAGTGTCGCTTGTTTCGCGTTTAACTGTGCGCAGGCAACTGCTGCTGTTGTTTTTTTTTTACAGACTGAAACCGAAACTGACTTAAATTCTCACACATAAAGTACATACATACATATGTATGTATGTACGTATGTATATACATTTATACACTCTTTATGTATGTAAGCTGCACTCTGTGCTAATCTACGCTTTGCGGCCTGTTGTTTATAATTTAGCGCAAAGCTCGCACACACACACACAAATTCTGATGGTGTACACGCATGCATACATACAAATATTTGTAAAATGTATATATTGTGCATATAAAAATAAACAGAAAACGCATGCACTTTGTGAATGTGAATGTGAATGGGATAAACAAATATTAAGTAATTGCATCCAGTAGACAAACATCGAGGCGAAGGTACATAAATACACACATCCATACATAAATGTCAATGCCGGCATTGCCGCCATAAAATAAACTTTTGCCAATAACCTGCACAATTCTGGGCAGCTGTTGTTAATATTCTAATTGCTATTACACAGGCACCTTTTATACTTTCACTTAACATATTCAATGCAGCTAGCAATTCTGTAGCCGACCCGGCTTAAAAAGAATTGTCAACAAGGTGTTGCATCGTGAACCGCGCATTTAGTTGATAACCCAACTAGCGCGCTAACAATCGATAACACTAAGGCAGGCTATCGTTGTCTATCATTGTTGTTCGTGCAATTCTGAAAAAACATTACTTTTAACTGTATTGGCATAAAAACAAATATTTATTTAGAAATACTTATATACATGTAAAGTATATAAAATTAAACAGATTTATGCATTATACTTTATTATTGTGTATGGAATAAAAAAATAGTCAATTCTTGAATTAAATGGACAAACATTGAGCCAAATGTGAATTTCACTTCCTGGAAAATAATAGCCATTTTGCTTTTATTAATTTTCTCATTGCTATCAGATGCATCTTGACGCTTTTCATAATTTCACTTAACATATTCAATGTAACCGATATGGCTGCAAAAACGATTATCAACAAAGAAGTTGTAGGTGCTGCCACTTATACGGCGCTTTCGATAGCCCAACTCGAGCTAACAATCGACACTACTAAAAATCGAAAAGCGCCGAATTTTAAACAAATGTTTCTTTTGACTTTATTTGTATATAATCAAACACAACTTGGAAACTGTTCAATTAGCGTAAGAATTAAAAAATATAGCCATAAGCCACAACTGGCTTGCGCTGTTGTCTATATATGTAAGTTTATGTGTGTGTCTCGTTTCAACCTGAGTATGAGCCAAGGCTCGATTCAATTAATGCAATGAGTAAAGAGAAGGAAAAAAATTAAAGATTATTTTAAAATTGATGGGCGTGTCTCTGTCTGTTTTCATCGGTACCGTCGCTCCCGATCCTCGTAGTGGTGGTGGTGATCCTCATGTCGATGCCGGCTGCTCCGCTCATAGTCCTCACGTTTGCGCTCGCCATACCGCTCGCTACGATGACTACGGCTGCCACTTCGGCTTCTGCTACGACTGCGTGAGCTGTGACGATGTTTATGCTTCTTCTTATGCTTGCTGCGATGCCGCTCACTGCGGCTGCCATACTCCTTCTCCCGATCCGATGAGGCGGCATATTGTGGTGGCGGCGGCGGGCAATCTTCATAGCGGGAGCTGCGGGCATAGGACGAACTTGAAGAGGTTGCATAATAGTCACGATCATCGTGATAGTTCATTGGCGGATAGGCACCACGTCCAGTCCCGCCACCACCACCGCCACCACGCCCCCGATCACCTCCGTAGTCTTGATAGTCCCCAGTAGCTCCTCCAGCTCCAGCTGCCACTGGACCGGCTTGAGCTGCTGCATTGTGCGCCCCAGCATTGTTGGCTGATGCCGAGCGTCCAGAACTTAATTGGTTGATCGTGATGCCCTGCTCACGACAATATTGCTCGATTTTCTTTTCAATCTGCTTTTGAATGGGCACCGGTATGCGGGGGAAGAGCGTGGAGAACCAATCCAGTTTGGTCATAAACTGATACACCATCTGGCCAATGGTCATCACCTGTGGGTGTTGTGGAATAAATGATTAGTTGTTTGCTTGCATGTGACGTGCTATTTAAAATGTAATTGGGGCTCATACAGTTGACTCACCTGGCCGCCACCGGCTTTCACGTCAATTTCCTCCTCATCCTGCAGATAATCCTCATACCAATCATATAGATCTGCCGGTGGTTGGGTGTAGCGTAAGTACATGAAACCTGGATGAATAAGAAGTCAAACGAGTAAGAGAGAAAGAGGCAGCATTAGAGGTGCATAGAATGAAGACGGGGGCCGTGGGCCTAGACGAGAGGGCCGGGCGAGAGGAGCAGGAGCAAGCAACGAGTAACGGCTGAACTCATGCGACTTACCAACACCTACCTAGTGCCCGGATGTAGGCTGAATCTGTATGATTTAACAGTCCATTAACCTGCTTGCGCGTCAATCTAAGCGTGTAGAGTTTATAGAGCAGACAATACGCTGTGGAAACGATGCCGCCGGCGCCAACGCCACGCACCTGTAATGAGGACATGATTAGGACGAACAGAAGCATAGATGGGAAAGTCCACCACCACCACTAATTTGCCAAAAATTATCATTTCAGGCGGGTGGGGCACTCAAAACGATAAGCGCTACATTTCATAAACAACTCACACCGCCACACATCCCCGTTTGGCCGGATGTTTTGCGTGATCCGCGCTCCCACGGCTCCATGTGTTTCACCTGATAATAGATCTCATCGACAACCTCGTGATAGGTTTTCAGCTTAAACAAGTGCACTGCAATAGATCAAGTTGCAACAGTTGCGATATAGATTTGTATGTGTGTTGTTGTTGGCTTTTCACTTCCACACTTCCACTCACCTTTAAAATAGCTGGAACTCTGTATATTTGCAAGTATCAGTGGGTTCAGATTCATCGAAGTCTCATTGCCCCAGAATGGCAATGTATTGTGTTGCTTGCCCATTTTTTTGCCGCCGGCCGAGGACGACGCCGAATACTCTGCAAAAGCGTTACGTTTTCATTCATTAAGTATTGGCGCGGTTTTTTATCTTTCTTTCCAACGCTATTTAATGTTTGTGAGTTGTTGGCTTGCCGGGGCAGCTGGCAAACACATTTGCATACACACACATGCAGATATGCTGAAATATATACATACATACATATATATACACACACTACCTTACCTTCGTCCACCATGGCTGCAGTTTGCGCCAATCTCCAAAGTGCAATTTACAAGTAGTCGAAAATTGACATTAATTTTGATATTATTATTTTGCGCACACCTCACAGCAGTGGCAAAAGAACGGCCTCAGAGCTGAATTTGCAAACGTTTAGTTGCCGAGAAAAGGCCATGAAGAGTAGCGAGTTTGCGCGTCACAGGGATGTTGGAATCGTATCGACAGCTCGATATGCGCTACATCGAGATGAAAGGCATTCACCTATCGGTGACAATGTCACAAGTCACTGCTTAGCTGTACAGGCAATATTGAGAAAATGTGAAATTTAAAGGGATAACAATTTCTAATTATTTTGCCTATCACAAAAAAAGTGCACACAAGTTCCATAAACGAATCAAATATATTTTTTAGGTTTTAATATGAACTTTGTTTAATAAAAGATTGTTTGGATCATATCTAGCAACAAATCCCAAAGCATTTGTCCTAAGATCCAATAAAATTATGAATTATTAAGCTTATAATTCCACTTGAGCATATCAGTGGTATTGGTTTCTTACAATTCTAAATAAGTTAAAATTTGAATTCATTCATTCATACGTAAGTGGAATTAAACTAATATAAATTTACTTTTATTCGATCCGTGTGCAGAACATTTATGGAAAATCTCCAAACAATTTCACGACAAATACCCCTCTGGCATTGTCTTGCTGTGAATGTGGAATGTAGAATCACTATTTCCAGTCAATGTTGAATCATTTGCCGTGCTTAAATAGTTTACCCACCACTTGTTCTGTTTGCGGCATTCTGTACTAATTCAACTTTCTCACCTTTTGCTTTAACTTTTTCACCTTGCCTATCGCTGCTATCGAAAATGTACATACAGGTGTTTCTGAGCACTGTTATAAGAGTTGATCATTTTCGTTCATTTATGGCTGTTACACAAAATCCCAAATCTGCCCTCAATCCTTACAAATAAATAAGCTGTAATTAATTCAATTAAATAAATGAAAATTGTATTAGTGTTTCTTATTTATGGTTCATTCAATGACAAGCCAAGCAGCTAATTAAAAAAATAGTTATCGCCGATACGACTGAGTAGTTCCAATAAATGAACCGTTGAAATGAACGACACAGCTCTAGTGTGCGTTACCTTGCAACACTTAAGAGTTGTGCTTCATCTCCCTGGCTGAAGCAGAAGCGCAGGAGGAGCAACAAGAACACGACATTATTTATTCGCGGATACGCGTAACTTAGTTGCAGTTTTCAGATCAAATCGTATCGTTTGCAAAATGAAATGCGCTAAATGCATTTATTGAATGAGCACGCTCCAGTATATTAATTTAACCGCAGTCTGCGCGGTCCGAATCAGCGACAGCGACCGACCTTCAAATTAAAAATTATACATACCCTAATGCACATACTGTGGTGCGCGTGTGTGGGTGCATGTAAAGGAAAAAGGAAAAGTGTTTTACCTGATTCGCTGCTCTAATCAATTAAAAGTAAAGCAACAGCACACCAACACCAGTCTTTCCAAACAATAAAAAATTGCAAATTCTAGTAATTCGCCGTAAATTTGAAACTGACGGTCAGAAGCTGGACATTGTTGTTGTAGGCTGTAAGTGGCAGTCGTGGGTGTAAAAAGCCGAGCAGCTTCTAAAAAGCGCAGCAGCAACAACAGAAACACCAACAAAATACCGAGAAAAGTCGTGTTCACGGTCATGGTCAAGCGGGTGGTGTAAGTGTAGGTGGAAGGCGTTGGTGTAGAGAGTAGTGGTGGGTAGAGAGGCGGAGGTAAAGTTGTGCGTGAGCGAGCTGCGAAAATGTCAAGCGAATCATCGGGCTCAGAGAGCGAGCTCTACGACCCCCTAGCCGAGGAGCTCCACAACGTTCAGCTGGTCAAGCATGTGACCCGTGAGAATATCGATGCGCTCAATGCCAAGTTTGCGAATCTGCAGGAGCCACCAGCGATGTACTTAACAGGTAGCCAGCCATCTCCCATCAGCTGTGCAGCTGCAATTTGTGTGCGTCTGTGTGTGTAACATATATGTATGTATTTGTTTTTTTTTTTTAGAATACCAGGAGCTGACCTCCAAACTGCACGAGTTGGAGGCTAAAGAGCATGAGCTGATGGAGCAATTAAATGCCCAACAACAGGAGGAGGAATGTCAAAGCCAGAGCGAACAACAACTTACAGCTGAGAGCCTCCAACAGCCGCATTATCAGAATCAAACGCAAATATTTCAACAACAACGTCAACGGGCCCATTTCCCATGGCGTCATGGCAGTGATTTGACGGACAGCTTTGTCTCCTCCGGCACGGCCAGCTGTGTCTCCTCCGGCACGGCCAGCTTTGTCTCCTCCGGCACGGCCAGCTTTGTCTCCTCCGGCACGGCCAGCTTTGTCTCCTCCGGCACGGCCAGCCAATGCGGCACATTGACGCGTCAGCCAAAAATTCTGCTGCGCGCCCATTTACCCAACCAGCAACGCACCTCAGTGGAGGTGGTGCCGGGCGTGCGTCTCTGCGATGCTCTGAGGAAGGCTCTGAAGCTGCGGCAACTGACACCTGACATGTGCGAAGTTAGCACCTCGAATAGCAGCGAACATATCATCATACCCTGGAACACGGACATTGGCACGCTCCATGTGGAGGAGATCTATGTGAGGCTGCTGGATAAGTTCCCCATACGCACCCACATCAAGCATCAGTTCATACGCAAGACATTCTTCTCGCTCGTTTTCTGCGAGGGCTGTCGACGGCTCCTCTTCAATGGTTTCTACTGCAGCCAATGTAACTTCCGATTCCATCAGCGCTGTGCCTACCGAGTCCCTATGCTCTGCCAGCCCTTCTCCATGGACAGTTACTATCAAACTCTTCTGGCCGGGAAATCCAATGATGGTGGAGAATTTCCAGGACGTGGCGCAGCTGTGCGGTTTAATGTGAGTAGCTACGGAATTAATTGAAAAATTGCCTTACAGATCACTTAAACAATTAGTTCGGATTTAAATTACATATATGAAGTTTGAACGCAAACAATCATTTAAACCGAAACTAGCAACTGAACTTTATAAATGAAATCAAATCCGTAAGAAATTATTATTTAGATCAGTGCATTATATCAAATAGAAACGATCGCCGGAAAAATCACACTTAGTAGGATAACTTTTTTTAACCGACTTCAAAAAAGGAGGAGGTTATAAATTCGTCTGTTTATATATTTTTTTTTATGTTCATTACCTTGGTAGACTCGAGTGTACTGCCGACACGGCAGAACAATCTGGCAACTACTGGACACTGCCAAGACCGATATCCGGTTGTAATGGCCACAAGAGAAGAAAAAAGCAAATCTAGTATTTGGGAGTTTTGTAAAGTGCTTCATCAGTATCCGAAGTTTCATCAAAATGGGCGCACTGTAGCTATATAGGATTAATTGGTGCATCGATGTATCGATTTTTACGTTAGCGATTGTTTTAGATTTTTCCTCGATGTTTTTAGATTCGATGCTCTGATCGATTTTTATAAAAACATCAATTCTACGGATATTGCCGCCAAGCGGAAAAATCCCGGGAAATACACAAAGCTTATAAAGAGTAAAACCGCGTATGTACATATAAGTTGTGCTGTAATTTCTTATTTTAATATATATAAAATGTTAAAATATATTTTATATATTTTTACGTAAGGCAGGCAAAAAATTTAGGGATAATCATTAATGAGACACTATCATGGCACAATCATGTTAATAATGCTGTAGGAAGAACGTATAGTGCACTTAGGTTTCTCTCTTTGACGCAGAATTTCCTCCCAGCCAAACTCAAGCTCCTTATTGCTAAGACATACTTGTTACCCTCACTATTTTATGGAGTAGAATTATTCGGAAACTCTGACGCCGTAAGCCAGAACAAACTAAAAGTAGCCTTTAACAGCATTGCACGTTATGTCTTTGATATTAAAAGAAGAGAATCCATAACGGAATACGCAAAACTAATTTTTAACTTGACTCTTAACTCCTGGATTAAACTTAGGACCCTAATTTTTATTCACAGAACCATTACTCGAAAAGAACCGAATTATTTGTATGACAAAATTTCATTTACCTCATCAAGAAGAACAAATAATATAGTCAGCATAAGATATAGATTATCTTGTTCCGAAAAACACTTTTTTATATTTGCTGTTCGTCTGTGGAACGAGTTACCGCATGGCTTAAAAACAATCAGCAATGAAACGCATTTTAGAAATAGAATTCATGCGCACTATCAAGAAAATACCAAAATGAAATAAAGTAAGAGCACAATATTAATACATTTACACTCAGTAGGCAACATTTTTGTTCTGATTATAAAATAATAATAATATTAAAAATAAGAACCAAATACACTTTAAATTTATGTATAATTAAAATGTATCTAATATAAATAGGTTAAGTACGCTAATGAAATCACTTGAATTTTAATAATATCTAAGGAAATTTAATTAATGTGACTAGTGCATTAATTTATAAGAATCATTCTTGTAGCACTAGGAATAAATAAATAAATAAATAAATAAATAATTATAATGGAATGTATCGACAGAACTATTGTTGATTTACTTAATAAATAAATAAATCAATAAATAAATAATTAAATAAATAAATAAAATATAAAAATGTGCTAACTGCTAAGGAACCATGCCAAAGTAAGTAACGATTATTTAAAAATGCCGCTTGCAGATTACAACGTTTGCAGGCATGGAATGCATTTAAAACGATTTTTCCACATGCGCATTATATTGCCGAGAAGTATCTATCTTGTTGTACTTGGGATTTCTGCGCCAGCCGAAGGCTTCTTTCAGCGGCAGGATGTATTTAAAATGAGCGGCATAGCTGCATGCTGCCAGAGCAGCTCTCCAAATAAATATTCTTAAATAATTTAAGTATCGTTGAATGGATTATTAACATATAAGAAAACTTTGTAATTGTGTATTAAACTTATCAAACACAAGACATGCTTTTCAATTAAAATCTTATAATTAATGCCAAAATGGGCACCTTGTTTAATTTTACACCTTGTAACCAAAGGGTGTACTAGTTTAGTGCGAATGTAATATCCACAGGAGTGGGTATAGCGTATTTAAGTGTCTTAAATTAAGAGTTGAGCCCGCTTGACATAACCTTTTTCTCCATTGTTTTAAATTCAAGAAATTTTTATTCAAAATCGATGTTAAGTTTTTCGATTTATCGCTCCATCGATATTTGTCATGGCGATTTTCGTTTCCGATATATAACATCGAGGATCATTTCGAACTTAGATTAGATAAGAACACACAACATTTCCTCAGCAGTTAACTAATTTGTTAAACAGGCTATAAATACCCTAGATTAGAATTATTAAGCTGCCAATTTAGTTTTAACATATAGATAGGCAAATTCGGTTTAACATAAATTGATCGAATTTGGAAATGAGAAGTCGTCTGAAGATCGTTAACTTTTATTTTTTCAATCTATGCCCTATCTCACTCTTTCTAACACATAGACTTTATTTAATTATTGCAATTCACAAAATTTAATAAATATCAAGCATTGTGAATTGAATGTATAATTAGCTGTAACTAATGACTAATGGCTCTTTTCTTTGCACAGGGTCGTCCACCACGCATTAGTCAAGACGATCGTTCCAATTCGGCACCCAATGTGTGCATTAATCACACACGTTCCGTTCCCACAGAGACGCAGCGCAACCTCATGCAGGCTAGGCCGCCGTTGCCGGTAAATCGACACTAGTGCTCTCTTAATGATTGGCAATTCGATTACCAACTATTTTTCTGTTCCACAGCATCCGGGCACTGATCACTCCAACTCTACACAGGCCTCGCCCACGAGTACTTTGAAGCACAATCGACCGCGCGCACGTTCCGCCGATGAGAGCAACAAGAATTTACTTTCTTCGCGCGACAACAAGAGCTCGGAGGAGAACTGGGTAAGCCAGGATATTTATCTTTTAGGATGCATTTTTAAAACAAACTTCTAGAACTATCAAAGGGTTATATGTAAGAGATAGACATATAGTAGATTACAGTTTTCGGCTATGTATGTAGGCTGGAAGAAACCAGTTTGTGAATCAACATGGACGGTAGAAAGGAATTAATGCTTTTACATTTGTTGGCTACTTGAATAGAACATCCAAGCGGAGGAGATTTTGATTGGCCCGCGCATTGGTTCCGGCTCCTTTGGTACAGTCTATCGGGCGCATTGGCATGGACCCGTGGCTGTGAAGACACTGAATGTGAAGACACCCAGTCCCGCCCAACTGCAGGCCTTCAAGAACGAGGTGGCGATGCTGAAGAAGACGCGGCACTGCAACATTTTGCTCTTCATGGGCTGCGTCTCGAAGCCCTCACTGGCCATTGTGACGCAATGGTGCGAGGGCAGCAGCCTCTACAAGCATGTCCATGTCAGCGAGACAAAATTCAAGCTGAACACGCTCATTGACATCGGCAGGCAGGTGGCGCAGGGCATGGACTACTTGCATGCCAAGAATATTATACACAGGTATGTGCTGCGAAATTAATAATCATCATCAATCAGTCATACAATCTCTCGCATAACTATCCCACAGAGACCTCAAGTCCAACAATATTTTCCTGCACGAGGATCTGTCGGTTAAGATTGGCGATTTCGGTCTGGCCACCGCGAAGACGCGCTGGTCCGGTGAGAAGCAAGCGAACCAACCCACTGGCAGCATTCTGTGGATGGCACCCGAGGTGATACGCATGCAGGAGCTAAATCCGTATTCGTTCCAATCGGATGTCTATGCATTTGGCATTGTCATGTATGAGCTGCTGGCCGAGTGCCTGCCCTATTGTCTCATTAGCAACAAGGATCAAATACTGTTTATGGTCGGGCGAGGATTGCTGCGTCCCGATATGACGCAGGTCCGTTCGGATGCGCCGCAGGCTCTCAAACGTCTGGCCGAGGATTGCATCAAATATAATCCTAAGGAGCGTCCTCTGTTTCGGCCGCTGCTCAACATGCTGGAAAATATGCTCCGCACCCTGCCTAAAATCCATCGCAGTGCCAGCGAACCAAACTTAACCCAATCCCAGCTCCAGAACGACGATTTCCTCTATATGTGTCCCAGTCCCAAGACACCGGTGAATTTTAATAATTTCCAGTTCTACAATAGTGCTGGGAATATTTAAACGAGCAGTGAACGCCGGAGAACAATATGCTGCTGTACCTGTACTTACTACACACACAAACACACACACACAAACAAGCAAACACACACACTCACATACATATGTCGCAAGCCTGGCATGAAGGAGAATGGAAACTAGGAGGCACAGAGATGCTTTTTTAATTCTTGTTAAGCAGCAATAAGTTAATGTTTAATGTACACGCATTCACACACACACACACACACACGAATCAGCGAAAGAGAACGCTAATAGGTGTGAGCAAGAGGGAAAATGGATTGTTGTGGAAGGCATGCGCCTCTAAATATGTGTGAGTACACAAATTTCTTGTTCTCGTTGTAATGTGTGACGCTGTCCTTCGAACTGACCTCAGCTTCAGCACCTGCTGCTGCTCTTTATTATAATAAAAAAAAAATATATATGTGTATGCATATACATCATATATAAATATCGAACACAAAGGCTATAAACTGAAGCAACTTCGATGAGCATTTCTGTTATATGTGCAAAAACTAATGTAAGCTAAACCTACATACATACAAACGCGCATATGTACATACGTATATTTATGTTAGACAACTAACTAGCTGATCGAAATTAAAAATACAATATATATGTATATATATATATATATATATATATATCTATCTATATATATATATATATATATCTATCTATATATATATACATATATATAAACTATGAACAAAAAAGTAAACAATTTCATTTGCCTAATAGGGAGATTTGCTGATCCCTGCAGCTTGAGGAAAACATTTTTGTTGTTTAAGAGTTGGGCTTTCAGGGGGTTCCTCGATAATATACATATAAAAAGAAACTTCGGAAAGACAATTTATCACTTGCACCCAACTTGCGGTATAATCGAGAATGCAGCCAGTCAGTTAGTGAATGCAAGATATGTATATACTTCTGCTTAGATTAGTAGAAGGAAACAAGACTTTAATGCGATAAAATATCAAGTGGATTCTTGTAAAAAAAATATATGAAGATAGAGATTCAAGATTCAACGCAGATGGACAGACAATTAATTAACTTAACTTTTGTTCTAGTTTTCAGTCAGCCACTTATGGATATATTAAAACAACATAGATTAATAGAAATAATTAAAACTTTAATGGGAACTTTGATAAAAAATTGCAATTGCTAAACATAACGACTGGCGATAGCGAGCACCTTTGTGTAGTCCGCGCCCTTTGCCAGAGTCTTCTCCTTAAGTATGGTGCGTAAGATGGTGGGTATGGGCACATGGATGCGTGTTCCAAGCGGAGTGCCATTATCGTCAATCAGCACCAAATTGTTGCTGTCGAATTTCGGTTGTTTGGGTCGCTGATTCTGCTTTAGACCCACAAGTATACCCTTCTTCTTTTCACCTTTGATAGCCACGAGCACTTTGTCACCAATGTAGCCCACACCGCGCTTATTGTAGACATGAATGCATCTGGGCGGTCGTCCCTCGGCCATAGCCCGTTTGCCCAAATCACTGTTGTCCACAACTCGCAGGCGAGCCAATTTGCGAATCTCACAGCAGGCCGGTGTTGTGTGCAGTCCACAGGTTTCCTGTTGTTGTTTTTGGCTGCTCAACAGTAGACCACAGGCTCTTCTCGCACTGAAGTTCCTTAAAAGCATTTGCGCCATGCTGTGATACGTTTTTTTATTTACAACAACGTTAAGTTATACAATTATTATTTTGCTTTTCAGTTGCATGCGTTCGATTAGCGATGGGCGATAGCCACTAAAGCTCTCCACACAAAATCACAGTAGATATATATCGATAGCACCAGTTACAGCAATCGGCACGCACGATAACACATTGCAACTTTTGCGTAGCGCGCCAATTCAAATAGTCTGTTCAAATGCAAACACATTTGTTTGGGGTTAATAGTAAATAAACAATTGTTTATAAACATTACTTTTCCTTTATTAACTCGTTTGAATACAATGCACAACACACACATTAAATGCATTTTTCTACATTGTTTTAACTCATTCCATTGTTAGTATAGAGTCACAGCATGACTACATTTTACGCATAATAAATGATAATAAACTTGTAATAATTTATTCACTTCTTCTATATTTCATTCGTTCGCATTGCATTTGTGCTATTAGATTTTTTTCTGTTTTTTGGGTGGAGGGGGGTTTTAAACACGACTAAGTAGACCAGTCCCATTGGTTAGAAAATTGGTTACTATAATTCACTATGACATACAAAATATTATATAAGCATAAAACGTATGTATATTGTATGTGTATTATATATATATTATATATATATATGTATATCATGTATTGGTATGTATATAAATTTGTATCTTTTTTTGGGTTGTGACCTAACAACTAAAACAAAAAATTAAAAAAATACATTATTTCATAACAAAAAATTAATACGTTTTCGTTTCTTTTCTTTTGTATTTTATCCATAGATACATGTATAAAAAAAATGAACGTGCAAAAAATAAAATTGCTACTAATGAATGTGCAGCTCTTTTTTCTTGCGTTCTCTCTTTTTCTTTGTGTTAATTATTTACAGTTAATAAAATAAAAATTTTAAAAAATTGTTGTGGTTGTTTGTTGCTTTAATATTTGCGCATTCGCTTTGTGCATTTCGTTTTACGGATTTCTGACTCTCTTTTGCGTTCGATGCTCTCTTAAATGCCGCTCAAGCGCGATTGAGCTCTTCACGCTTGAAGTTGCGTATGGCGTCCAGCAGCTGAGAGCGCGGATCTGGCGACGTTGGAGTCAACGTCGTGACGCTGACGCTGCGCGACGCTGACTTCAGCTGTACTGCCGGCGCCATGGGTGGCGGAGGCGGTGCGGGTGTGTTGGCAGCTGCTGGAGCTGCTGATCTAGCAGTGGACCTAAGCTTGACCTGCAGTAGAGCGGGTGTTTCTGGGGTTGGGGTTGGGGTTGGCGTTGGCGATGGTGGGGTTGCCTGTTTTAGCTTCAGCTCCAGCCTGCTACTATTTATGACGGTCTTGGGCAATGTGGCAGGCTTCGCTGCCGGCTGAGGTGGAGTAAGTGAGGAGGGCGTACTTGTGGTACTGCCATTGATTCCATTCACACCATTTACCTCGACGCGCACGCGCAGCGCCTGCTCCTTTTCCTGTTGCTCCTTGGCCAGCATGCGTTCCTTGAAGCCTGTTCTGCGCAACGTATTCTGGCCAAAAGGTGCCGGTGCGGTTGTGGGTTCCACGGTAGATGTGGGACGTGGTAGCGAATTGCTGGTTGTGGATCCGATATCAAGGTGGCCCATTGAAGCAGGCAATGTGAAACGATTGCTCTTCGCTGGACGTGGCAGCGTTGATGAGTGCGATGTCAGTTGCACTTGAGACGATGCTGGCTCGGATGATGACTCGAGTGATGGGCTTGTAGAGTCGTTATCGACGCTTACGTCCCGCAATGGCTTCACTGTAATGGGTACTTTGTACTCCTTGCGTGGTATTCCCATGCGCAAGGTAGGTGCGGCTGTCTCGATGGTCAGCTTGACTGGCGTCCCCGGATTATCGATGGGCACGGGAACGGGCGCGGTGACCGGACCTGGACTGTTAGAGCGACGCTCAATATGGTTGGCCAGGGATTGACGCTGAGCGGCGTTGGTGGCTTGCTTTCCCCCAAATATGTAGTCACCTTCGTTTTTGATGGCCACCTGCGACTTGGGACGCTCGCTCCAGGTGGCAAAGTTGATACTGGGTGGACCGGAGTAGCGATAGGTTTGGGGTAGAGGCTGCTTTGCGGGCTCTGATGGCTCGCTGATGACGGAAGTGGTAGCTACAGGAGATATGGGAGTCGGTACAATATCTACAGCGTAGGATGTGGCAATTGGAGATGTTGCGGGAGCTGGAGCAGAGACTGTGGCAGCAGCTTTTGTTGAATCCTGGACTTGTGACGGTGTGCTGTTCGGGATCAGATTTATGGTTGGGCTTGGAGCTGAAATGGGACTGCTCTTTGGTATCTGTGGCTGTGTAACGGTCTGGTTGATCGTGGTCTTGGTGCTGGTCGGACTTATGCTACCAGAACTCTGCTCTAAGCTATTTTTTCGGGAGCTCAAAATCGTCTTGATTACCTCGAGGCTCTGAAGCGAGGGTGACTCGCCAATGCTCAGCTCGCTAGAGGAACGCCTTTGGTGCTGGCTAAGACCGTTCTGTTCGATTTTGGTGAGCGAAAGGTGCGAGGAGCTCCGCAGGCCAAGGCCATTGGAGTCACCGTGGCTGGATTTGCTGGCCTGGAAAGAGTCAGCACGCGCGACCTGACGAGTTGGTGTCGTTGGTGATGTGGCAATGCACGCAATGCTGAAGTTTGCCAGTTTATTAGGCTTGGCTGCCTCGATCTCAGTGTTTGTTGGCTGCTTACGTATCAGACTGTCCAAGCGTTGTTCATTGATAATTGTCGACAATTCATCCACGATCTCATCGAGCGGAGATCCGGTAGCGCTCTTGGGTCGCGCTATTTCCATAGCTGGCGACTCTAGTTGAAGAGTGGGGCGTGGCTTGAGCTCAAGCTGGTCAGAGAAATCTGGTGGCGGTGATATGGGCACGGCATAGTTCCAGGATGTCAACGAGGTCTGCTCGCTACTCGGTGTGGGCAGCGTGCCATTGACAGCTGGCGTATTCTGGCCGCTGGGCAGGGAGTCCTCATCATTGGCCGTCAACACGGACAACTCGGCCAGCGTTGTGGCGTGGGGTTCCGATTGAACGGGCTGCTCTGCCTTAATGGAGGTCTTACACAGCTTAAAGTTATACACCTTGATGGCTTCATCATCGTCGGAGCTGGACTCGAATGTGGACTTTAGTTCCGCCTCAGAGGGAAGACTATCGGGTAGTGGTGAGGGGGAGGGAACAGGTTCGCCTATGCCAGAGTCAGCCTGCTTGGAGGAGGCAGCGTCGTTGTCATCCTCGTCTGCGGCGCTGCTCATTGAGCGGGGCTCTGGTGTGGGCGTGCGATTGAGCAGCACTTTGGATACGTTGCTGACATTGTTAACGTGACTATTATTGTTGCTCTTATTGTTAGAGTTGGGGATGGGGCTGGAGCTGGGACTTTGGTTGGAAAGAATGGGTGCAGCGCTGGAAGGCAGCGGTGGTGGCGTTGTCGCTTGTTTCTCCACCAGCTTTTGCGCTGTGGGTGTTGATGTCGGAGCCGAAGTGGTTGTCGGTACTGGTGTCGTAATGCGCGGCGCTGGCTGTGGTGGCCCCATTGGTGGCGTTGATGTTGTCTCATTCGTAAGCGTATCCGAAATCGAAGCCGTGGTCGAAGCTAGCGATACGGTATCCACGCTGGCATCTGGTGGTGGCGCCGGAGCAGCCTTCTTTTTTACCTGCACCAGACGTTTGCGGGGCGTGGGTTCCGGCAGCCCATTGCTTGGATCACGCCTTACCTCTAGTGTTTCGTAGTGATTGCTATCAACAACATCCGGCGTCTTGGCATTATTCCCATTGCAGTCTAGTTCTGTCGACAAGTTGGGTGTGGAGGCGCACATTTGCGGGCGTTTGACAATCACTGCATACGCTGGTTCCGGTTGTGTCATTCGGTTAGAGTCAATCTCTGTCAGCACTGTCTGCTCGGGGATCACCAGTTGGCTGGGTGGACGAGGGGCGGGCCGCTTCTTACGAGGCGGTGGCGCCATACCCACCGACATTGAGGACAAAGTCTTGGGTAGCACCACAGGGGTGCGCGTATAGTTCATGCCTGTCGAGTCCATGGAGTTGAGCGAGTTGCTGGAGCTGTACGGGCTAGGTGTCTTTGTTGTGAGCTTGGAGTGTCGGCTGCTGCTGAAGTCCGAGGAGCTGCTGAGCGAGTCGCGCACGGCGGTCGTCCGCTGGAACTTAGGCATGGCGTCGGCATTGAAGTTGTCGTACGATTCTGACTTGTGGCACAGCCTTATCTCGGAAAGGCCGACGGCGCCAATTGTGGACTCACAGCTATACACCTGACTAGCGTCGACTGTACAATAATGGTGAAAAGGAAGGGGAAAAAATAATTAGACACTGGCACTCCCAATGAACAAATCTATCTCTTACCTGGGTTTCGGAACTCGTACTTGTCCGCATCCAGCTGCTTGTTGTCACAGACCATGGCGAGCAGCTTACTCAGCGCTACGCGGGCGCCCAGACGGGTCACATAGAGCTGCTCCTTGGGCAGCAGCACCTTGATGCGGAAGGTCTGCTCGAAGGGCGCATTGCTGGTGGCCGCTGGAAGCGGTGTGATGCGATTGTACTCCAGCTGACTAGTTTCGTTTATGTGCATGCCCGAGTCTGTGGACAAATGATGCAACTGTGTCGTTGACTTGGATAGCTTGCCATTGGAGGCGGAGCCGGCGACGCCATTCTTATCTGCGAATAATAATGTTTAGAAATGGATTAATAAGTTAACGACCGATTTAAAAAATATTAATATATTCCTCAACACTTTTTTAGGAAGTCAGATTGAAAGCAATGATTGAAAATCTAAATTGTAAGAAGTCCGATTGAAAGCAATGATTGAAAATCTAAATTGTAAGACCAAAGAATTTAGTCTTTTGACCACTATGGGTGTTGAATTGTATAAATTAGACTTTAAGACTACAATCGAATGAATTGGGAACATTTGTATTTGTCGCAAATCAAAATTTCAATTTAAGAGCAGAATTTCTTTCTTCAAGATTGGACGTTTATTGACAGACCAGATTGACAATACAATATTATTCTTTTAATGAAGATGTTCCATCTAATATCGGGTTTTAAAAAAACTAAAAATATAGGCCTGTCTGAAAACGTTCATTGCAAACAATAATGTGTGCAATCAGTCTGAAAAGGTACCGATGGAGCTGTCAAATTAAACTTTAATTTCAACTAATACTTTCTTAAAGAATTTCGATTGAAAACTAGATTAAAAGCTTTTAAAGAAGGCCTATTTTTTAAAGCTATAAAATGTATGGTATAAATATTTGCACTTTTCTAATGGATATGTTACATTAAATATCGGGGTGTAAAAATATAAGCTTGTTGAAAAGTCTTAATTGAAAATTACAAATGAATGCTTTAATATACAAAATTGACTAAAAACATTTATAGAAAAACCTTTATTTTTAACCTTATTGTTGCATTGCGTCTTGTTCTAGCATATCTAATTCAGTATTTACTTTTCGCAAAGATTGACATCAAATCTACCACTCAAGACAGCAATTTGAAGCACGCTATCAAAATATACGGTGCCATTTAATAGGGCGTTAAAAAATATGATTAAAATATTAATTGAAATATCTGATTGAAAATCTCAATAAACCCAACAAGCAATTAAACGACTGTAATCAGCCGAAGAATTCCATTAGAAAACAATGAAGATTGTAATATCAATTCTAAACTTTTTGTTGGGGGAATTTTTAAATCAAGTTTTTAATCAAAAATTATCCCCTCAGATAGGCAATATTTGGAAAAGTTGCAGAGAATTTTGGGCTTACCTTTCTGTTTCTTGCCGAACCAGCGGTTGAGTGTGGAGAAGCCGCCCTTCATGCTGCTCATGTCGGGGAGTGGCCCACTGTTTGGCGCTCACTAGCTCTCTCGCGCTCTCTTGCACTGACTTCTGTGGCCCGTCTATTTCCGTTTCCGGTTAGCTACGTTGTGTTTTTTTTTTTAAATTTATTTTATTTCTGTACTCGCTCAGATCGCTAAATCGTTTCGTAATATTTCCTGTACACATAAAATGGCGTCCGATTTGTACGCTGCCAAATCTGCAAGTGGAAAGAAAAAAGGCATTTGAACGCTGATTATGAAATGGTAGTCAGAAGGAAATTGGCCAGAAGAACAAAAACAATAAGAGGACAGAGAAGGAGAAGGAGGAGAAGGGGAGCAGTAAAAGCAGTAACAGCAAACTTGTGCTTATCAGTCTTTTATTGATAACGCGCACGCTCTGCCAAAGCCATAGAAATTCTTAAGCTCTTATCGAGGCAAACAGTGTGCGCACACCTTTGAACAGACATGTATGTGCATACATAAAATGTACATATAACCATACATACATACATATGTTTATTCAATACATACCTATGCACAGCTTAGCGCTTTTGTTTTATCAATTAGTTGTTAAATTTGCTGCTACAATGCTCGCTAGCTTAGCGCCTAATGGTTAACACACACACTCACACTCGAATATAGATATGTATGTACATACAACGCCTATTGTATAATGTGCGTGTGTGTGTGAGTATTTGCTTTGTGATAAGCCCAACTGGGTTCTGCAGTGACGCGCGCAGATTCTAAAATCTCGCATATGCCGGAGAACACCGAGTAACCGAGTCCCAAATACACTGTAGTTCTACCCACATAGCTTAATATTACTTATAGGTAATATTTGTACCACCAGGTAGTAGGCGTGGCAGCGCCCACAAAGTCTGTCTTCTCGTCCGTCAGATACATACTTAGTTCCTAATTTTGGTAACATCTGAAACAATTTTAAACGAAATATTTCTCAGCTTATAAAGTTTCGAACAAAAATGTCATATGCTTTATTTATGGGCGCTTTAGATACTTAAGTACAGTGAAAACTCTCTTGGCCGGACACTCACGCTCGGCCAATTTATGTCCGCTCATGTGGAGTGTTCGCTTAATGTTTTAGAAAAAGTGTCGAAACTGGCATAGGCAGCAAAACCCAAAACCGTATCCTAAAAGTATGCTGCATTCTATTTCAACTGTTTTCCATATCTTCGAATCGTATAATTGCTGTCACTGAAGTGCTTTTCATTAAAAATCTGAAACATTATTCGAATGTTGGTATTGCTAAAAAAAAGTGTGAAGCTGGAAATAGGTCAGAATATTAAAAACGCTCAAATATTATTTGCAATAGCATAAGACTTCATTATCCGTTCTTTTCAGGCTCCTAAATTCCTAGTGGCACATATTTTCATGTTTACACTTTTTTAATATCCCCCTTTCCGACGTTAGGAAACCCAGTTTGTTGACTGTTTTAATACAGAACTCTACGTTCATACAATCAAACAGACTGAAAGACTGATGAGAGAGGATAGGTCTAAATTGCCTCTTACGTTTTATAGGCAGGCCATATCAATAAAGCCAATATAGGAAAATAAACGAAAGAAATATCAACTACACCTAATTCTGTTTTTACACGGTAGATTGGTTCCAGAAACAACCGTGTAAAGAAAGACATTGATCATATGCAAAAATTGGTGATTGGATGCTTATCTCTAAATAAATATATATGCAATTTTATAATTTTCAAACCGTGTTATATCAAAATCGTGTAAAAAAATACCGTGTAAAAACAGAATGAGGTCTACTTTTTCCATCAAATTAGGAGTACGAAATTTTTGTTATCTAGCTCTCAGACTTTTTTAGAAGTCTGCGTTCATACAGTCAAACAGACTGAAAGACTCCTAGCCTTTTTGTTCAGATAGCGCGCTCACCAGAAGATATCCTTCTATCAGAGTAGCCTGTTAGTGTTCGGTTGTAGGGTATGAAAAAGCGCGCGAGTTGGGCGCGTTTTTAATCGCGTGCACTTAATTTGCACACAATGCTAAACAAATTGAATGCGGGAGGTGATCGGGCGGACAACGCCATACTATTGTATAATGACACAGTTAAGCACACACACAAACACACACTCACATATGTGGTATTTGGCATGCAAATTACGCTCAATTGCAAGACAACAACAGCAACAATAGCAACAAGGAGAGCAATAATAATCGCAACGACGCGTCGTCAACGTTTAACTCTCGCCCAGATCGTGTAATTGAGGCACGTGCCCGGCTAACTCAACTACCTACACACATATGTATGTACTTGTACATTTGATTTGAAGTGCTTGCAAACACAAATCGATTGTTTATTTATTTTCTTGCTTGAAATCTATGAGTTTTCACCTTTTAACGAGCGCTCGCTCTAATTAGCTTAACGATTAGCCAGGCTAATTAAATTTTACTCACTGACTAGTGTTTTTTAGCTTCAATGGAAGGCACACAGTACGGGTATGTACATAACCTTTGCTCAACAGCAACAACAAAAAGATATTTGTTTATCAATACCAAACCCTAGGAATGTTTATGCTATATTTAAAAGCAGTCCCCGATATCGATGTCTGGGGTGTGCGTGTGTGTGTGTGTGTGTGACACCTAACTTTAAACTTGAAAAAAAAATGAGTAACGAAAACATAAATTCCTCAGCTATCAGGCGAGGCGACGCGTACCTGTAGAATAATTTTAAAAAATCATCACGTCCCATATAAACATTTCAGCTGTTATTATGTATTTTGTTTGTTTGTTCCTTACTTATAAATATTTTTTATTTTTTTCTAAATTTAATAGCCGGCCAGAGAGCGTGCGGTTCGAGGAGGGGCCGCCAGGTGGAGGTGCCTCCCCCCTTGAACCGGGCTACAACAGAGTAGGAAACAATGTTGACAAAAATTAGCCGAGACTCGCATTAAGTTACGTTCACAAATACATACAAAACAACATCTATAGTATGTATGTATGTATGTATGTATGTATGTATAGCTTGAAGTATTCACACAACGCATCTAATAACAAAAAACTTGTTAGGCACTCAACAAAAAACAGCAAAAATAATAACAATAAGCAGCGAGAAAAAAAGCTAAAAAAAAGAGGCTAGAACTGCCACTAAAACTTGATTGGGCCATTGTAAAACAGGCAATTAGAAAACTAATCAGTGAGAAAACGAAAACGTTTCGAATGCCAATCAAAACTCAATGGAGAATCAATTTGTTGCTCGAAATTCTGGTCACGTATACCTCAAAGCTGATGTTCAAGAGCTTTGGCCCAAGTTGAGGAAATTGAATCGCCTATCAGGCACTATAAAAGCGTAGATATCTAGTCTTAATAATCAGCCTGATCATTAGCACTATTAGCTCAGCTTCTGCTTATCACGTTTCTTAGTCATACAAGCAGGGGCTACTTTTTAAAACTTTTCCAGGGGAAATACCCCACTTGAGGTGTAACCTCAGCAATACTTAGAATCAGAAATTGCACGCGATTAGTAGCATACTGATCAGCAGAAAACCACTTCGAACAAGTCCGTGCTCGATTTCGAAGTCGGTTGAAGCTTAAAAGCTAAATAAAGTACATGTATATTTGAATATTTCATTTTGAATCTGAATTCATTTGATTAATTAAATAATGAGTGATTGCTTAAAAAGTGGTTGAATTTGATTTAAAATCATTTAAATATCAATTTCAAAAATTACTGGAGCGCAAGAAGTTAATATCTCCACCGCTTTTAGTGAAAAGATAATTCCATCAATCGATGGATTTCATAATGATTTATTGCTAACAAATTATTTGAATTTGTTTTTGAATCATTTAAAATCTCTATATCGAAGACTATTGAAGCTTTATGGGTCGATAGTTCCACTCGAAAAATAGTTTTATTATTGCACTTAATTAATACATTAATTAAAATATTTTAATTTGACTTTAAAATGTATTGAAAATTTCGAAAAAGAATCTCAGAAATATAATTCCAATTCCATTGAAAACAAAAACGCAACCAAAATGTTTCACAAACTATGATTGTAGTTGAAGTATTATAAATAAATAAATAGTATTATTATTTAACAAATGCAATAAAAACAAGAAAATTTGCATTTACTTAACAACAATGTAATTATATTCTTCAAGTTGTGTCGTGAATGGCAGCAATTTTGCAACAATTAGAGCTAAACGAGAATTGCGAACTTATGAGGAAGTTGAAACTAGCACGTCATCGAATCAACCAAGAGTGTAAAACTAGGGTTAAGGGTCGTTCAATTTCCTCTCATAAATAACAGATTTGACTAATTTAGTGCAACTTTAGAAATTTATTGCGGAGATAGGCGATTGTATTTTAATTACTAGAGTCAACAAGAGTCTAGTCGAGTGTTTGGCCTATGCATATACTATAATGTTTGTATATGTATTTGTATATACTAGTAGGTGTTCGCTATCTTAATGAGAATGTAAATAGTTCTCGACTTATCTGCAATACGTTTGAGGGTTTTTATGGCCGTCTATTTGCTCACCGATTCTATTAGCTCTTATAACATTAGCAAATTGTTCAAATTGTTTCATTTTATGGGTTTTATTTTTAAACTTTTCTGAACAGATCTTACAAGTCAGAGCGCCATTTGTTTTGTTGTGTCATGTGATATTCAAGTAGTTGGTAGTATTTGAAGGAATGCATTTGATATTCAACAATTATCGAATATTATACTATATACAAGTAACTTTTCGATCTGGAAATCAAATATGGAAAATAGATCGACTTCTTCAGCTTTTATTCCGTTCTTATAGATTGAAGAAATCTTATTATAAACAAATCATTATCTAATGGTTCATAAGTTATCGTACAGCCGGTTGACTGTCGAACGGATAAACGGACATATCTATATCGATGCGTATGTATGGTTCGGTTTTTACTCGGTAGATTGGTTCCAGAAAAAGTCGTGTAAAAAAGACATTGATCATATGTTATTTTGAATCGTGCTGAATGGAAAAAGTCGTGCAACCATATATAAAATTTGTAATTTTCAAAGCGTGTTAAAAAAGACCGTGTAAAAATAGAATTACAATATGGCGTCACGCTTCCTTCTGACTTTTTTGTGTACTCTTTTTCCAAATCAATTACTGTTTCCATTATATGTTACTTAGCTGAAGATATATATACATGAATTTACATATATAAGTATTTACCATTGTATAGAGTAGATAATGCCAGCAAT